CCTGAGTCTGAAGCTGATAGGGTGTCATTAGTCATGCTGCTGTCACCATGGAGATGGCTGGAGGAGAGGAGGTGGTGGGGGTGAGGATATTTTGGGTAGGGTGGGGGCTGATGCAACATCATGATTGGGAATCCTGCAGGCGGTCGGCTGCTGTTACTCTGTGCAGCTTGGTGTCTGGGGGACTGGAAGGGAATGTTACCAGGTGCGTGGGAAGTGGAGAAGGGGGCACTGAGCTTCTCCGTGTGGTTGTCTCAGGGCCAGGGCTGGGGTATTTGGGGCAGGGCAGAGTCTGTGGAATATAAGCCATTACAAGGAAACACAGATGTTCCTCCCTGGTTGGCAAGGACCAGGATCAGTAGGTTTCCTTGGGCTTTGCCCTGTTTTCAGGGCTGGGGATCCGCCGTGAGTTTGGGATTACTCAGCAGTATCCTCTGCTGGCCCAGGGTGGAGAAAACAGAGCAAGAGGCAGCTCAGTGTGGCTGCCTCTCAAGTCAAGAGAAGAGAGGCTGGGGAAGGAGTGTAGGGACAGGTAGGCAAGGCAGGACTGGATGGGACTTCTAGGAGGAGGGAGCCCATTCCTGCCCCTGCCTCAGCTCTGTCTTCTCCTTCAGCCCCTGGAGCCTGTGAGGAACTGGGGGAACCTGGTTGCTTGGGTAGCAGGTGGGTGAGCTGCTCATGTCCCCAGATGCCCTGAGATTTTTCTCCCTGGAAATCCTCCTCTGGCTTCCTGGGAAAACTGCGGGAAGCTCCCTGGAGGCGCTGGAAGTGCCACCCTCACTGCCTGGGTGGGGATGCTGTCAGGGAGGGGCTCTGCTTCCCCAGAGGGGATGGGGGCTACTGGGTGAGGCTGCGGGGTGGATCAGGAGCTGGGGTGGTTCCCTGGCTTCCTCCCAAAGGAACTTACAGCAAGGAAGTACTTGGGGGAGGGCAAGAAATTTGCTTCTCGGAGAAGGAGAAGAGCCAGGTGGCATTGGCTCCCCTGGGGAGCTGGGCAAGCCTTGATGAGGATGCTAGTAGTGGGTGACCACCTGGGACAAGACCGTGGTAGGCCCCTGAGGCAAGCAGAGGTGGTTGATACTGGCGATGCTGTGCGTGGGAAGGAGAGAGCTGTGAGCTCACTCCACACCCCTTCTCCGGTGAACCCCCCAGGTGTCACCTCCACTTCCGCCTCTGGCCGCCCACTGCTGTAATCACCTGTGTGCTGTTGAGGGCTGTGGACACGGAGATCATGGAGTACACCTGTTCTGCCCCCCACCCTGGGAAAAGCAGGACAAGGGGATGAGGACAGATAGGCTCAGGGAAGGGGCAGCTCCCTCCTTCCTCTGTGTCTTTGGCCTCCTCAGCCAGAGCTTCTCTCTCTGCTGGGAGGAAGGACTGCTGGCAGGTTTGTTTACTCCGGAAAGCACCCCCTCCTACCTAACGATGGCTTCTCTTCAGGTCTTTCCAAGTGTGTTCTCCTTTCCTCCCTGCCTGCATTCTGCTGTCCCTGCCGTCCTGCTGGAAGCTCCCAGCTTAATACCACCACCCTTAGTGTTGTGGGCATGGAGCAGGGCTGCCTGGAAAAACAGAGGACGCCCTTCAAACATGTCTTCCTCCTTCCCCCTTCTCAGAGTGGGGCCTGAGCTGGCGGCGTTTTTATTATTTACTTATTTTAAAAAATGTGTTTATTTTGGCTGCGTCAGGTCTTAGTTGTGGGACGCGGGATCTGCGTTGTGGCACGTGGGATCTTTCGTTGCAGTGTGCGGGCTCTCTAGTTGTGACGCGTAGGCCCTAGAGCTCATGGGCCCTAGAGCACGGGCTTAGTTTCCCCGCAGCATGTGGGATCACAGTTCCTGCGTCCCCTGCATTGGAAGGTGGATTGCTAACCACTGGACCACCAGGGAAGTCCCTGGCGGCGTTTTTAAAGCTCTGAGGTGTTTGTGCTCGTTTTCATTGTTAAGTTGCCTGTTGGAAAAGCCTAGCTTCCTCTTGGTCCAGGTTGCCACTGCCAGCGAGCACTTGGATCTGAGCCCCTGTTCCTGGTGCCACCTTCCCCCCAGATAGTTTTCTTAGGTGGCCAGTTGAGTGTGGTGTCCCACATACCCTGGTGGAGCAGTTTTGCTAGATCCTCTTCCGTCAGGAGGTGGTGGTGTAGGAAGATGTATGTGGCGTGTGAGCTCATTCAGATCAGGCAAAGACTCTGGGACACAGGACAAAGGGGTCTCCCAGTCTGTGTTCCCACAGGATGGGCACAGGATGGGTAAGCCCCCTGGGTGAAGGGTATCCAGCAACCAATGGGAATGTGCTCATCTACTGTGTGCTGAGTCCTGCCAGGGTTTCAAGAATATTCATGATGTAGGGTGTGCATCGTGCCTAGCACAGGCATAGGGTTGAGCTTGATGAACGCACGTGGTCATTTATTGTCTAGTCTGTTACATGTCTACCCACGATACCCCAAGGAACATGCCATAGCGTACGCTGTTGCCACTGCCTCCCTCTTCGCAGCCTGAACAGGAGTGAGTGCCCAGTGCCGAGAGCACCAGGCTGCCCTGCTCTCGGGCTCCCACACTGTTCCCATACTCTGCCCCATGGGAACCCTCCACTGGCTGAGGACGTGTGGAAACTGTTTTGGAACTGTGCCCAGGATCTCTGCCTTCTGTCTCTCCTTTGGGCCACTGCTCCTTTTGTCAAGGATCTGTGATCCTCAACTTTCCACACACTGTGGGTCGCTCCTACTAGTTCTTTCTCGCCTGCTCTTCCCACTCTCCAGCCCTCTGTGTGGGTCCAGCGGGATGTCTTTTCTCTCTGAGGTATGTTTACAAGCAGTAGTGAACTTGGGGAGATATGGAAGCAGGTGAGCATATCAAACGATGGTAGGAAAGGAACCAACCAAGAGGATTTCAGAGTTGAGTTTGAGAATGGAAAGAGAGGGCTTCACCATGCATAATAAGTGGTAGAGTTAGAGTCCCAGAGCTCAGCTCCACCTCCTTGGTGACCCCAGCCATTTTGTTTTAATGTTGTGGGAGAGCGGGAAGACTTTGTAGTACAGGTAGGTGAGTGAGCCCAAGGGAGAGCCTTCCTGCCCACTACGGTGCAGGCCCTGGAGCTACCTGCAGGGGTCACTGTGATGGCTCCTTAGCCCCCTTGCTGGGCTGGCTGAGGCGGGACCTAGGTGCTGGGCTCCCTCCAGCTGTAGATGGACATTTCTGCTAGAAACCATCATTGTGGTCTTGCCAAGTCCCCTCCCATGCCCCCGAGGCTGGAGCAAATAGTTTGGCTGCCTGGGGATGGGGGCAGGGAGTATAGGGAGGCCTTGGTTTGGCTCAGCTTTTGGGTATCTTGTCTTTCCCACCCTGACCTCCTGGGCTTTTGGCTTCATTTTCTCTCTTACTCTGGTATCTGGCAGTCAGCTGAGGACTTCCCCTCGTTACCAGCCTGTCTGGAGCTTCTGAGGAGGAGATAGCTTCCTTATGGATTAGTTTAGGAAGCCTTTGGGCAAATAGAGATGGGGTGGCTGAGACAATTAAAATCCACAGATTATCACGCTGTCCAGAGCTGTGATGCTCTTCCCATTCACTTTATCTCCCTTTCTTCCTCCCTTTGTCTTTCTGCATTTACTGAGTGTTTACCATGTTCCAGGTATAGTACTAGGTCCTGAAAAATAAGAGAAATCATTATGATTTGATATTCACAGTATCACTAGAAGTAAGAGACATTGACCAAGTTCCCTAAAACTGTAACACTGAGTGCGAAAGCCATCACTGGCAGTTGTTGTTGTTGTTTTTAAATACAGTAAATGCTTTTGATCTTTGTGTTGTGGTTGTGAACTAGCACGTGGTAGACCAAGCCTCTCACCCCCAGCCAGCCCTGCTCTTTACATCTGCTTTCATCATCGACTTAGTGGACCTCAAAGGACTTTGGAGGAAGAATCAACATGCCAACCGTATATTCAGT